TATCAATTACTGTAGACAAGGGATGTGGGATGTTACATGACTATGTGGTGAGGGGGCGAAAGAGGAGTTGCAAATGGTGCCGCATGTGTGGCATCCACGATGGAGACACTGCAAGAGGCATGTGCGGCTTAATTAGAGAGGCATAAGCGCGACGACAAAGTTCGGTCCCACATAGTATGAATGCAAGGCGTCACACCCTTATTTGTAGGGGCTTCTACAACTGGCATATGCCGTCACTAGATGGGTGAGTGGCTCCTTCTACAGATTTCTTGGCCCATTACGCTCGTCAGCATTAGACCGCAAAATTACCGCAAGCTTTGAGATTTCGAAATGGATTTTTGCGCAGGTAAGAGAATCTACTCCTTGTTCAAAGACGAAACGTTCTTTAAGCTTCAAGAGCACTGAGCATGTGCATCGAATAAACAAATTAATTTAGACAGGAAAACCTGCAACAATTCGTATCTCCAAAAAAATCGGCGTAAAATTTACCTGATATCCTGCGGAACGTTTTACTGGTGCTCCGCGAACTTTGAAGGGGAAAATACATTCATCTCCCGACGCGTCGCTCGTGTCTGGACTGTTGGTTGAATCCCGGCTTACTACCTGTAACGAAATTTGAAATCTGTAATGAATTTTAAATGTGAATATAAAATCTAAGCAGCCATCATTCATCAAAAGCAGGTACAAACGTCACGTAGGAAAGGAAAGGAAAAGGGAAGGAATACCAAAAGCGACTGGATTGTCTAGAAAAAGTAATGGTTTGAACTTTGGCAAATTAATCATTGAAGAAAAATATACATTAAGCGAGAAATGGTGTCTGTTGATTTGAGCGAGTAGAGGCTGCAAAGTTATTACTCATAAAAACAGTCACTGATTAAATAACTCCAGATTCAGTTCATTTTAAGATCGTACCAAATCTGAAGGTTAAGCTGATATGACAAAGCGAAAAAGACATACCTTCTTCTGGCGGCGTATTTCCCTAGGAGGTGGAACGGGAGGCAAGCGTTCATCAGCTGTATTACTCGATGACGCACTTGACTGAGGTATATGCACAACCTTAAAATCTAATTTCATCCACAAGCTCTCTTTGTCCGTGAAAGGAAGGGCGCTTCCGCTCTCACTATGAAAAGCATTCAGTGCAATAGTTCGTCTGATTACGGTAATGCCATTCTACAAGCAATCTATCATGTTCTAGACCGCTTGACACACATGTTAAGTCATGAATTCGTTCTATTGGATTAATTTTCTTTCTTTTATGTTCCACTGTCAAAACACATTCTCGATTACGGAAGATACTTACCTCATAACCGATTGGAAAACGGAAGGAAATTACTGATGAAAAATGATAAAATGATCCAGAGATGCGTGCAGCATGGCGGTCCGTAATGTGTCGAGGTTACGAAATGTTGAAGGGTTTGCATTTTCCCAAAAGTCGGTGAGCAAGGAGAGGATGGACCAGTTCCTTTGTGCCCAATTGAATTAAGCCGTCGAGAAACAGGTTGTTGACGCTTTGCCAAACCAGTACGGTAAAAGAAGGCACGATTTTACTTCGGTGGAAGAGAGGGGGCATGCAACGGTGAGATTTTTTCTTCTACTTGACCAGGTCTCAGACTTAGCAGGGTCTAGACGATCAGAAACGACGTGACTCTCGCAAACGATAGAGTTCCTGTCGCGCGGCTAGATATGCCACACTCACGGACGTCCTGTCGCTGGAAAAGATTTTTGCAAAGTACGACCCTCTGCCCCAGATTTCCGCCTCCGATTCGCCCCCTGTTCCACAGTGTTACCTACCAGTTCCA